TTTCCTCTAAGACATGTGTACACATATATAGGAATAGTCAATATTACTTAACCTAAGATGACAGAAATTCATCTACAGAATAAATAGACCTGTCCACTAAAAATAACTTTAATTTACATTTAAAACTTTTAAAAAACTGGATTCGCTTTAGTTCTTCTGGCAGATGATTGAAAAGCTTCAAACCAAGATAGTTAGGGGAATTTCGTGATATATTAGATTTATATAGGGGCATCCGAAAGTCACTATTTTGACGCGTATTAATTGAGTGAATGTCCCTGTTCATTTTGAATGTTGCTCGATTTTTAAAAATATATATGCACAGTTCAAAAATTAATAATCCTGAAAGAGTTAACACACCAAATTCCCTAAACAAAGCTTTGCACGTGTGATAACTTGGAATACCCGCAATACATCTCAATATCCGTTTCTGGGCAATAAATACACCAGGTGATAGGGTAGTATCCCCCCAAAAACATACACCGTATCTCAAACGGGAGTCAACTTGAGCGTAATACAAATTCATAAGTTGTTGCTTCGTCAGAACTGATTTCAAGTTTCTAAACAAGTAACACAGAGAATTTAATTTTGCTATAAGGCTGGTGCAGTGCTCTTTCCAATTTAGGCACTCATCCAATGTGAAACCTAGAAAATTGACGGTTGTTATAGTATCAGACAATGGAGAATTGTATACCTGAACATTTAGTTTAGAACATTCTTTCTGATAATTATGAAATCTAATGTAAGATGTTTTTGAGGGATTAAAATATAATGAGTGAGAGCCACACCAATTGCTAACATTATTTAGGACCGAGTTGCATTTGAGTGCCAGTGCATCATCAGTTTTATCAGATACAATTAGCGACGTATCGTCAGCATACATAACTGGGAATGCAGCGGAGATTAAGCTATCAAGTTCACTCGTGTACAACACAAATAATACAGGTCCCAATATCGAGCCCTGTGGCACACCCATACCCACTTCCTTGTATCCTGAATTTATTCTTTGAACGGTACCAACTGAGGAACAAGAAATACTTACATATTGTGTTCGATTTTTGAGAAATGAAGAGATCCATTCATAGGCCACCCCCCGTATACCATAGCCATCTAGCTTTTGTAATAATTTTTCATGATTCACACAGTCGAATGCCCTGCTGAGAGATTTATTGATTGGTATGTGGATAGCATTTATTATTAACTCTATAAGTTGTACCAATTTATAAAAAAAAAAAATTAATTTTGTTGTTTTATTAAATAAATAATTAGATAAAAATACTAATTTGACAGATTTGAAATATTTTTCAAAATCATTCCTCTGTGTTTAGTTTGTAAAACAATATCAATCCATCTGATGTGATATATCAACAAAAAACAAATGGCCAACGCCCTGTTTCATTTTATCATATTTATTTTAGTTCTCAATTTTTCGGTTTATGAGTTGATGGTTGTTTGTAATACGGTAGGTAATTCTGTGACTTTTTGCTTGAAGTATTAGTTTTTTTACTGGAATCGAAATATAATTTGTCCAGTAGTGTTTAGTTTTACAGTAAAATTTAAATGGTTTAGAGAAGGGTTTTCTGTAGTGTGTTTGTGTGCCTTTGCTATTAAACTTTTGTGTGTAATTTCGAAAAAAACATAGTTGAATAAAAGAATTAATCTTGCCGAAAGGTTTTTGTCTCTATATCATTTTGTTTAAGAAAAACACGTAAATATCTTCAAATACAGGAAGTAAATTACAATGAAGAGATAATTATGGGTCACCCTGTATATACTGCCTCAGTCTGGCTTGGAATCGCTGTATATATCTATTACATTATCACTATCGTCAATTAAAAAAAAATGTGTCATTAAATAAATGGTACGTCAGGTTAAGCTTAATGTAACAAATAGGTATAATTATTTGAAAATTGCAATAATTTAAGTGCATTCAAGTAGCCGCTGTACAAAATTTTTACATTTTTTTTGTAATGAACTCAGTTTATAAACCCAAAGTATTAGAAGTAATAGTTAGTACACAATCAACGCAGTACATTCAAACTTAAGCACTTCAAAATGAAATTTGTTTTCGCCGTTTTGTTCATCGTTGCTGTAATGGTACATACGTAATCCTGATTAAATAGAATATTTTTATACAAATCACTGAAAATTCGACGAAATGTAAATTTTTTTGGGATTTAAACATAAAATTCAACCTTTATAGATTAAAAAAATTGTAGCATTATTTATAACAGTAACATTTCAAGTTTTCAACTTGACAAAAATGAACGTGTTTTTTTTTCAGGCTGAAAATAAGGCATTCGCTCAAGGGCAAGGACAAGGCCAGTTTGGAGGTTCCGGCGGAGGACAAATGGGAGGAAGCGGGGGAATGGAAGCCACGGGAAGCATGGGAGGGAGCGCGGGAGGGAGCATGGGTGGAAGCATGGGAGGAAGTGGGGGAGGAAGCACGGGCGGAAGCATGGGCGGAAGCATGGGAGGAAGTGGGGGAGGAAGCATGGGAGGAATGGGAGGAAAATAAAGATAATTTTAACTCGATATAACATAACACAAATGTGACAATAAAGAAGTACCAACAAAAATCAATATTTGTTTCATTTACCGTAACGTAGGTTGCTATATCGCCAGGGTTATTCAAAAAGAGTGGTCTGTATGAATGCACAAGAAATACAGAAAGAGGATAATTGAAAATGGCTTCCCACTATTGTCTCTTATCTTCTTTATATCTTGAATTTGATATCAGTATCTCTAAATGCACATGAAACACAGTAAAACGGCAGGAACCTAAAAAACTATGAGTCGATAATTCCTTTAATTAACACACCACGTGTCCCTTTTATTTAAATTTTTTGTATCCTCACAGTGGGCCCATGCTATCGAGTTTGAGTCACCCTGTACATATTTATTTTCCGTCCCACCTTGTCGTTGCGTTTGTTTCAAACAGTTGGTTTATTTACCATTAAAAACTTTCTGAGATAAAGATGTATTTCAGAATTTCAAAAAGTAACCGCATTACTTCTCGTGTAATATTTGAGGTTAAAGATTAAATAAAACAAACATTTACGTTAGTGCTTTTATTTCACAGTATCCAAATTTCCTATTATTTATTTTCTACCAGCTCCACCGCCACCTCCAGCTCCAGCACCAATGTCAGCTCCAGCGCCTGCGTTGAATCCAAATCCGGCCCCCAAACCGGCCTGTCCTCCAGCGCCACCTCCACCTTGTCCCCCTCCACCTCCTCCTTGAGCCGACACCTCCTGCCTTGTCTAAAAAACGAAAACAAATGTAAAAGGTTCTATTTAAAATGTTAAAAACATGAAAAAACATTGACAAAAAAAAGCCATAAGCAAAAAGCAGTGGCTTACTCAAATTTTTGGAACATCCTGTATATCAAGTGAACTTTTCATGAAATTCTGTAACGTAAATTACTGTCATATATCTTTTATTTTTATCTATCAAAAATAAATAGTACATTTATCTACAAACGCATTTATAATTTTTTTACATTATACAATCGAGCAATCCTTTGAAAAAAAAATGACACGAACCTGACGTATGTATTTCTTTACGTTTAAATTTTGTTAAAAAATGAAATATACATATTTATAATCACTTACAAGCATAAGAGCTGCCATGAAGATTAGAGCAAATATAAACCTCATTTTGATTCTGGAGAAACACTTCAATATAAAACGCATGCAACTCACGGTTTATATAGGTATTTTTTGAACAAAAAAAATTGCGTGTTAGATATGTTGTACATTTCCTTGATTTTCGTGTGAAATGCTTGTTAATTCAGATTTATCACAGTTATTAAATAATTAGTACCACAACGATGCATTAACAATGTCGCTATAAAATAATTAAATTTATATTATAATGACTGTACATGTTTGTTTACCTTTTGATTTTTCTATTTCCAGTCTATTTTTAACATACAGGTCACAAGGTTGCTAAAAAAAAAATAATTACTTCAATGATCAAGTCAAAGATTAATTCAAAATTATTTATAGAAATAAAATTTTAATAAAAAAGGATAGGAAGAGACATCAATAAATCATATAGTTTTTTAAAGAAATAAATGGCAAGTACCATATACAAAATTATCAAATCATGAAAAACAATGTCTTTTGTAATGATACTTTTTTTTAAGTATAAATAATTGGAAATACATAGGTATCTTTCTTTTGATGGTCAAGAAATAAATTATAATTTTTTCCAATCAATCAAGGTAACTTTTTCTTTATTTTTGGGTATTTTGCCACCTGCGAAAAAATTTAAAAAAGTCGTAAAATAGACCCTTGCGTCAAATGGATCAGTCAAGGGATGTTTTTATGAAAATAGTTTTGCCTAACCAAAAAATTTCACGCTGAAAAAAGCAGACAAATACAAAAATACTTCACTTAATGTCGCTCACTTTGGAAAGGTCGTTAATGTTTCGAAAATCCACAATTTTCGTCTTCTGAACTTTTTTTACTTTTGGAAGCGTCTTTGATAATAAATTCCGTAGGTAAAATATTTGTTGTTTGAAAAACTGTTTTAATGTTGAATTTGTTACCTATTTTATCTTATTTTTTCCGATAGTGCAGTTATACAGTATATAGAATTTTTATTGTGGATGCAATTTTTCTTTGTTGTCTAACAGAATTTGTCTTATTTCCGATATCGCTAGAGACTGTTTCAACAACAAAATTCTCAGGGTATTAATTACACAGGTCAACAAGAGTCAAGAAGCAGACACACTAATATGCATTCCCGAAGGATTTTGGTGCGCTGAATCCGAATCTGGCCGCAGAATTGCTTATCACCACAGAATTTTGAGATATCCTAGCCTAAAAGTGCAAAAAACACTGTTTTTCGTCATATTTGAGGTTATATAGTAATGCCATCTTTTCTTTTTAAAACAAAAATACATATAACTAAAAAGTACAAGTCTCCCTCTTTCGAATGCCGTTGAGTTTGCTCAAATATCCTTTTTTTTCGTTGAGATATCACATGTTGAAATTTCTAAGTTTATCAGTTATGCGAAAATATACTAAGGATCCCTTAGACGTCAAACAGTTGATTGGAGTTCAGAAACTTCATACTCAGAAACCTTCAATACATACGAACTCAAACTCACAAACTCCAAATCCACAAACCCACAAACTCCAAACCCACAATCCCTAAACCCACAAACCCCAAATCCCACACAACCCGAATCTACAAACTCCAAGCTTACAAACCCCAAGCCCACCAACACCAAACCTACAAACCGTATGGGTATGAAGTTTCTGAATTGCAATCGACTGCTTGATGTCTAAGGGATCCTTAGTAGATTTTCACATATTAAGAAACTGAGAAACTTAAAAATTTCAACATGTGATATCTCAACGAAAAAAAAAAGATATTTGAGCAAATTCAACGGCATTCGAAGGAGGGAGCCTTGTACTTTTAGATTCAATGT